GTTGTCTCTCAGGGAAACTGATTTTCTCAGAGAAACACACGCACACCAAAGGGGTGATGTATAAAGAGAACCCAGTTTTTCCTGTTGAGGATATATCACCCACCAGCCCAAAACTAAGGAGCAGGCATCCAACTCTGGTCATGGGACCACAGCCTTATGCCTGTGTGCTACGGGTCTCACAAAAATAAACACCATTCTTCCAGCCGTGCATATCAACCTTATACACACCAAAGATTGAAGTAAATCGTGCTAAAGATCCCCAGTGCAAAAAGCGTGCTCCCTCAGCCACTGTCACACGTGACAACTGCGTCAATAGCTCGGACAGTTATGAATCACAGTTATACAGCACAATCCTCGTGCAGCTCGAGCCAAGGGTCGCAGCAGAGAGAAAAGCATACACCACTTGATACCGTCTCACCCCAGTGGCAAGAGCCCCAGGGGTACTGCCCAGAGCATTTTACGGGTGCTTCTCATGATGAATCCAATAGTATATGTTTTAACCAAACGACTTCTCAATTAAAGATATCATTTATGAAATCTATCAGTTGATCCCATCTGTCAAACCACCAAGCAATGAGGTAGATGATCCGGTGCTTATTGAATGGGCAGGTTATGAAAATCCTGTAGAAAAGAGGGAAGGTTTTCACACATTACTTTATCAGTCATTCACTGAAAATGTGGTCGCTTAAATGAATGCGGAATTAAACACTTCTACCTGCAGAAGATTTAGCATGCCTTACCCCCCCACAAAGGGAGACAATGCTATAAAACACACAATTGTCCTTTCCCCACATCTCATACCATTGATGAGGAATATTTTGATCTGGTCAGACACCCAAATACAAGGATGAATGTTGAGATGAACAAATTGAGAGAATTTTACAATGTCAATGAGCAAGGGATAAACATTAGCTCTTTCATGAACTGGTTTGCAGCAGGCATCAGATATGTGCTCCCCCGTGTTAACAGTGAGGAATTTTCAGGCCAACCTTGTGACACAAAAGTTGAAATGAACTTAGAATTAGGTGGATTCTTTCATAGTGCGCTGGACAGCATTCTGAAGATGCATAAAGGTCTTCAAGCGGCACAAGTATGGATGTCCACACAATTCCTGCTTACTCACGTAATCATCTCATTCAACAGGTTAGACACAATATCTTAGACCAGTCGGTGGTCGTCTGTCACTATACGCCGAAAATTGGAAGTCAATTACCAAGCGACAATTGGCTGATCGAAGTGGTAAAAAGAGGGTACAAACTCCATTTTCAACAGCATCCGGAGCTTGTAGTCCACCCCAAAGGATGACGTTTTCATCTAGTAGACAATATTCTTTTCCATCATTGAGTAAAACAGTGGATCATCCAGATAGACTATTATACCCCCATCAGAGCTCTGAGATACTATATTTCAGCTTTGCAGAACCCCAGAAAGGAAAGAAAATGGCTCTTTGTCTCTTGCAAGCCTTTGTCAGAAAAGGACATTACTAAGGCTACAGTGGCAGGATGGCTTAAGACCACTATATCTGATAGTTATTGTCAAGCCCAGCTCTCAACACCAAAATGAGGAAGTTGCAAAGCTCATGAAATTCGTGCACTAGCAACAGGTCTGGCCTCATGGAATTCAGTTTCCATCGAACAAGTGGTATCAAGCTGCCAACTGAGATTACGTTTTTCTACCTACGAGACGTACAACGCGATCCTAAGGGACTTTAATCCCTGGGCCTCTTGGTGGCTGCCCAGGCTATAGTCACTCAGAAGCCTTTCCACCCCCCCTTTTCTGTTGAAGATCCCAGAAAATACCACAAAATAAGTTAGCCTTTACACTTTGTCAATTAGGTTGGTCGGATCATTGGCTATCATCTGGGATGATAGATCATAGGTAATAGGGTTATTACATTGTTAGTTGCTCGGGGTAACATGTATAACTACCGGAGTTGTGGTTTAGGAAGACTTCAGAACCGGAATTAACCTAAAGAATATGTATTATCACCAAATATACAATGGGAAAAATGTCAACAGTTGGAATGTACGTCAATATCATACCTGAGGTGAGATAAGAATATATGATGTTGGCTATAGAGCAACAAGTATATGTCTATGTCACAAGAAGAATTAAATGGAAGTGACATCATAGATGACCTAAGAACTGGAAGTGATGTCATAAATGACCCAAGTGATGTCACAAAGAGAATGGACCAAAAGTGTCGTCATAGATGTTCTCAAAACTGGAAGTGACGTTATGAAAGACCTCAGAACCAGAGGGAAACATCATAAGTAAGGTCATATATCACAAAAAACAAGTAACAATTATGACGTCATAGAACGGGAAGGATGCACAAGTGCCAGTTTTCTTCAGGTTTGCAAGGGGTAAAATCAGAAAGTTAGGCATTGGTTCATATCCTGTTTCTTCTATGTGTTCCCCTACTTCACTGCTGTCAATTATCCGCGAGTACAAGATGACAAATCCTGCCTGTCCCTCTGGTAAATTCTGGCTATGATGTAATAGAGGTAGGATAGTTGTAGGAATTATCAAACAATGGTTATCATTGTGTAAAATTTTAAGAATACTACCTCTATTACATCAGGAAATAGTCCCTCCCACCTCCCCAATATATCTTACATCTAGTCCAGGGGTCCAGAAAATTTAATATCCCAATCGGACATTTGCATTTAGGCCACGCCCCCTTCAAATAGCACATTTCAGTACTTTTCCACACATTACAAGTTGTTATTGCGCGCTTCAATATAGGGCTAACTCAGTTATAGCTCACAGTTAAGTTTACTAACATTTTTAATAAACTCAAGTTTTCCAATGACACCATGTTTTCCCCCATCTCCGAAAACATTATCAGCTGATCACCACGATCACGTAACACTGAAAATACCATGAAGATTCCGGGATAGAATAGGTCTTCAGCAACCCATGCTTGCCGTAAAAGGTGATTATGCTTGTCGTAAAAGGCGTCTAACGGGATCGGGTGGTCAGGCACGCTGACTTGGTTGATGCATGTCATCGATCCCAATTGCGTGGATCGATGATCATGATATTAATCACTGGATTGTCTGATCCTGACTTGATTGTTTACAGACCGCCGTCATATAGCTGGAATATTGCTGAGTGTGGCGTTAAACAACAAACCAACCAACCAACCAACCGAAATTACCAGTCAATAAATCCGAACTGAAGTACACAATTTACTCCTATTGTTATAATATCTGGTAATAAAAAAAATTGTTCATTGTTTATCTGGACTAATGTTTGCAATATACTTTATTAATTTTATTCAATAATTATAATAATGTTTACAATAATTTCGTCGAAATCAGTGTGAAGTGACTGGTAGATCGCACAACTCTCCGTTATTTACAGCAACCACGGTCAGATTACCGCTTTTGACTCCTTGAAACGAACTTTAGTTGCAAGAGAATGGATACACATATAATAAATGCCGTACCATGAGGCAGTTTGTCTATTAAATGTCAACATTACGTTTTTGCAATTGAAATACATGTTGCGCGGGAAGTCCCTACGGTGACTGGTCAAAATCGTTCAATACGTCAAAAATATCTTGCATACAGTCTGTACCAAAGTGCTATGCTTATGGTTCTTATAATTTTAAGTATCTATGGTGGAAGCTGCAATTAAAATAACACGATATTGGAATATATTATTCCTGATAAAATAATAATTTCAGATACAATTTCATCCGACCATTTCATCAAAATTCTTTGAAGTTGTATCATTGGGTACATTTTAACTGAATCTCCGGTAGATTGGGAGGAAACGTGTGCACAGCTAATTGCTATTTCTGCCTTAGTTTACGAGAAAATACACAGGGTAATCTTAATCTCTGCATATAAAACAATGCGTTGGAGAGCAGGAAATACATTTTAAATGGTAAATCATCATGTCTAGTGATGTTTTATATCAAATTTCATACTTCTATTGACCAAGTTTGTTATACCTGTTTATTCACCTGAATTCGCTGAAGGGATTCGATAACGCTCATCAATTATTTGGACCGTGTTTTTTTTTTAAATGTCCGGACAGAAAAATTTAAATGTCCGGTAAGCAATATTTTAAACCGGACATTTGAGATTCCCAATCGGACATATCTGGCGCATATGACCCTTTCTGGATCCCTGATCTAGTCTATGAAGTTTATTGGAAAGAAGTGATGTTTTTCCCTTGCACAGATGCAGTGTGACAAGGGATAGGGTCTACCTCAAAACTATTGGGATAATTGGCAATAAAGAGGACGTCTGTTGAAAAATCTCAAGTTTTTACAGTGTGATTATTGCCAAAATGGGAATTTATGGCTATGATGTAATAGAGGTAGAATTCTTAGAATTATACACAATGATAACTATTGTTTGATTTTTGTTCATTTTACATATTCATATTAATTAGGTTTATATGTTTTATCATCAAATAGTGAACAATAGTTAGTTTAGTTTGTCTGAACTTCCCTTTTAAATTCTTTCAATTGCAATTTTTCTCTCTTGCACATCTTTATGGTGGCCCTGAAACTGGCAGACTGAGGAAGCTGAACCTTGGCATATATGTTTCTACTTTCAATAACATCATGTGACCTGTGAAGATTCCGGGATAGAATAGGTCTTCAGCAACCCATGCTTGCCGTAAAAGGTGACTATGCTTGTGGTAACAGGCTACTAACGGGATCGGGTGGTCAGGCTCACTGACTTGGTTGATGCATGTCATCGATCCCAATTGCGTGGATCGATGCTCACGACATTAATCAATGGATTGTCTGGTCCAGACTCGATTATTTACAGACTGCCGTCATATAGCTGGAATATTGCTGAGTGCGGCGTTAAACAACAAACCAACCAACCAACATAACATCATGTTTTGTACAAAACTAGAACATTTAGTGTTAGTTTTGCAGTCCTGTGTTTATTACGTATCCATGTAAGCTACAGTGCCATGGCACTATTTTTATCGTAGTTGATACTTGTTGATATTTCATCAATTTTCAGATATGTCCATTACTGCATGAAATATGTGAATAACATGCTGAAGAAGAAAATCCGACCAATTCTGGTATTTGATGGGTGTCGTTTACCTTCCAAGAAGGATGTTGAAAAGACTAGAAGAGAGTAAGTACTGAGTTGTCCTGGGTTGGTTTACCATGTTGTTATTTATGAATTTATCAGGTTTTAAAATTTCTATGGTGACAGTTGAATTACTAGATTTCCCACAGTCATAAAGATCCAAATGTGGTCCTTTGATAGACATAGGGATCTAAAAAATATTCAAACTTTGTTCGACATAGCAAATATTTACTGTTATGTTTTTTGTAGGATTCTCCCAAGATGTAAGACTTGACAATGTCTTCTTCATAGTAAGCATTGTGGACATTTTCCTACCAGTGAGGGTCTGTGAAATTAAAATGATGCAAAATAGTGACTAATGGTCAAACAGACTGTTATAGAACAGGCTCTGAAGAATTCCCTGGCCAAGAGGTGACATGGGGGACAGCTTCCATTCAGGCCACGTCCGCTTTTGTCTACTCCAAAGGTTATGGATGTACGGCCACAGGACGGAGATGGGAACATGGATCAAATTTATCTTTTGTGCATAACCTGGAGGCAATATACAAGTTTATCCCTTCTGTTCAACCCCGTTCGGACCAGACAGCACCCCCTCAGATGTCGGAATATGTGGGATGCCATGCCTCTGTTATGTCATCCCATGTCAGCGTTAGAAACTAACAGTTTTGGACCACAAGTCCTTATAATGATAACATGTAGCAAAATCCTTAAAAATGGCAAATTTGTACTAGTCCTTATGATACCTTAACTATTGGGCAGTTTGGCAAGGACTAAAGGACTAGTGCCAATTTCTAACCCTGCATGTTCACCAGACCTGTGGCCAAGTTAAACCCAGTAGGTCATTGATCAGACTATGGAACAGTTATGGAAAAACTACAGCATGATGACAGATTTCCTCTACCTATTCTGAAGAAGTTGTATCAAACACACAACCTGCCGTTCCTGGATTCTACAACTTTGGATAAAGATTTCCTTAAAGAAGAATCACAATATGTAGCTCTCCTTTCCAGCTAGTCTGGTCAACTTACCAACATTAAACAAGTATTCGATGGATAATGGCGCTGATATAATTTGGTTTGTGGTTGACATACGTAATGCTATCCCTCCCTTACAAGCCTTATATGTTGATGCTCCTCCCAACACGCCTTTAACTATATGTTTGGATCAAGTTGGCCTCATCCACAGGTTGCTTGTTGTTATTGTATGCATGCAGGAGGAACTGCTCTCTACGCAAGTTTGGACTTCCTCCCAATTCCTGTGGATGCATCATCAGCAACTTGTGTCCCAAGTTCACTCTAAGGCTGTCTGGAATCTGGCCAAGTGGATGGGGATGTTGTGGCCCCAAAGTTGGTCTTAGAAAATCTTGAGAGGCCATAACAGGTTGTGACATCACCATCCACTTGGCCAGATTTTCTACGACCAACTTGGGACCATCATGGATGAGGCCAGCAGGATACGACTGAGCCTTTCCAGGTCCGCCATCAATCTCACTGTAAAGGCCCATGCTTTTTCTTACTCATCTAAGCGAAACACGTGAGCACTCCTGGGATACCTCTTTCCGTGAACCAGCACGGAAGACATAGAATCCTTTCAAGCTAACCGAAGATCTGATCTCTCCCAACAACAGCCTGATTCCTTTTGTCAGTCTCAGTCCTTGCACCGTGGATCTAGCAAAGTCAAGAGGCCGTGGAGACCGTAGATCTACCTGGACTCCTACTACCATCACAGACCCTGTTGACATGGCTATCCCTTTTTCTTATACCACTGACACCGGGTCCAGTGGGGGGGACGTCTGTCATTCTTCACCGATCTCTTGAGACTCATTACATCAGACCACTGAATCCAAGACGTTGATACCAGCTACACTATGTACCCAACTACTCCTTGTATCTCGATCCATAGGTCATAGACTCCACCTGGAATGAGCCAAGTTGCTGCAACCGACCTTACCATCACAGTCGTTTGAGAGCTCCCAAGATACGGACACCCAGCACAGGCTTCTATTCCCCAGTGTTCTTGGTCCCAAAGAAGAATTCTAACAAAATGAGGATGATAATAGACCTCAAGTTCCTGAACAAGTTCTTCTGATACCGCCTTCAAAATTCCAGATGTAAACTACAGTTAGACACTTCGACAAGGGGATTGGCTCATCAGCATCAATCCTCAGGATGCTTACCTGCACGGGTCATTCATCCTTCATCCCAGAAACATCTCCGATTTGCAGTGAATGGTCATCGCTATGAGTACCGGGTACTTCCCATCGTGATAACGGGCGCCAGTCATCAGTTTTGCCCATCTGCATCTGGTTCGCCTCAACGGATATTTGGACAATTTTCTAACAGCCAAGCAGGACAAATATCAACTATTTCAACTCATGACGAATCTGGGATTCTTCTTTCATCCATCCAAGTCAGAACTTATGCCTACATATGAGCCCGCTTGGTACCAGGCTGAAATAAGTGGGAACCTGAGAATTCAGGCAAGTCGCAAACAGGTCCAGATGCAGAGTGTCCCACATCAACGTGATCCAGGCGAAGATGTCCGAGTGAAGAGTCCATTCTGTGGACACGATCCTGCCTTTCTAGGAAAGACTGTCTGATAGTTTCTTCAACTTCCCTTGAATATGTCTCGCTACCATCCAACAGTTGCAGGAGTCTGCCAAGGCAATTACCCAAGAAGTTTCCATCATTAGATAATCCCTATTTCTGGAGGTCATCCATGTGGGCTCCCCATCTTGAGTCTGAGGCGTCCGTGAGCAGGTGATGGGTGGGCAATGAGTAAGTGAGAGGAATGCCCGACATGACATGACCGCGGATTGCCCAGCACAGTAGGTCTTGGCGTAAGAGTGGTAAGGACACTAGAGTGTCTTGAGATTGTAGAGGAAGTAATTCAGCTGGCCTCTGTAGATCATATCCTGGAATGAGGTGAATTTATATTCAATTTGGCTGAGTAAGTGCCTTGTCGATCATCAGGAGCATCGAAAATATATTGATCATCTGGAGAGCAGATATATCCCGTATTGAGGAGGAAGTTGGCTCAGCTGTGAATCAGACAAACATTATTATGGCTACAAATATGCCTGACATTTGGAACTTTTAATTTTTAACAAGCTGTGAAACAGACGAACATGGGTACAGGTACAAATAAGATTTTGAATTATATAAACAAAGTTTCTGAAAAATATGGGGAAAAACATGAACAAACAAATATATCATTGGAAAAAATCACTGAAAATGTTGGTGATAGGGGAGGAAGTTAACCTTCTTGTTGTCTTGAAAAAGATGAACACGTGTCACACAGTTGGCAACCCAAGAAAAATAAATGTTGGCTTATTTGTCATAAAAATAATGACATTGTAATTTTGCAAAATATTAATAGATGTAAGGATTTTGGAAAAAGACAGGATGACTTGTTTTAATATCCAAACAATAGTTATCTATTAGATCATTGCCGTAAAACCTGTATTTTGGCTGCAATCACTCTGAAACTAAACTTTTAGATTTTCAACAAGTCTTCTTGTGCCTACTGATGGACGATCCTCTCCACTTACCACTTCAGTTTGGACATACTCTGCTAAGATCTTCCCAGTCTTCATCTAACCGCCTGGAAATTTTCTCAGATTCTCTGAATCTGCCTCCACAGCTGTTGCTAGATCATGGAGACATCCTCCCACATTTACAACAACAGATGGGACAAGTTTGTCCAGTGGAGAAGACAATACGGATTAGGAGACGCCCAAGTCACCATCCTCATGGTTTCTGATGTTTTGCTATATCTTTTGTCATGGTACAATTGAAGGTTATAGATCTGCTCTTCATTCTGTTCTTCAACATGACGGATTAGCCACCGGCAACTATGTCATATGGTCGCTAACTATGTCCAATCCATGCTCTGAAATTCTCTCTGAATCCCATCGACGTCGTGGGAAAAGACCATTCATATGATAAAAGACCCATTCCGACCGGGACATCACTAAAGCTGTTGTTGCGAGCTGGCTTAAGTCAACCATAGCCTCAAGCTATAGGTAAGCGCTGGGTTCCCCTCCTATTCTAGGTTGGTTTTCTGAGCATGAGATCCAATGTCAATCACTGAGTCTGGCCCAGACTCGGTTATGTACAGACCGGCTTGAATATTGCGTAGTGCATCATTAACTCTTTCATCCCTGGCTGCCCCAGAGTTATGTCCCTTGAAACACTGCAGTCCCTGACACTGACAAGGCATGCACAATGGCCTCCCTGGCAGTATTATTGGAAAATCACACTATCATTTTTTATGCACTTTTTCTACCAGAAACTTGCTTTTAATATACATTTATCATATACCAGTGTAAAGAGGATTAAGTATACTGTAATATTCCTTGTTGTTATTGTCTCTAACCTTTCTTATTTTCTAATTACAGGTGTTTACAAGTGAAATAAACTTGAAAACACTGAAAAAATGATAACAGACAATGAATTTTGGCTCAAATTGTATTAAAAATCACAAAAATAAATCACAGATACAAGGTAAACATAACACGGTGGTCTTGTCATCTTGGACGGCACAGGTAATCCCAGGTGTTAAAGGTAAATTCTCTTAATGCACATCTGTAAACAAATAAACAAGTTTACAACACTTGGTACCGACTTTGTTTTCTATACTGATTACTTATGATACACTTACAGCCTCTTAGGTAAACTCGTTAACGCAGGTAAACTCGTTAACACAGGTAAAAACACAAATATCAGATTTATTTTGTTCTTTTTCAGGATTTGAAACAAAAATTAAGTATTTAAGTAATTAAATAATAATTTATCACATTACCTGAACATTGAACCACAGCTACTATAAGAATGACATCACAGGGAAGATATCACAGATTGATCTGAAAGGAGGGAAATATTGTAAAAGGACAGAAAGATCGTAAATTCAAGTTCTGCAAATATACAAGTTGTGATAACATATTAACAATACACTGCTATTTACAATTGCATAATAAATTAAATCAGTACTTTATTAAATCAATTAATAAATAATTAATTATTACAGTTACTAAAATTTCAATTAAAGATGTGAAAAACAAGAAAACGAACATGAATATGGAAATAAATTTTATTCAATTTGAGCGAAATACAAGGACATACGACAAACCAGCAAACTACAATTCGGATTGCGATCAGAAAAATAAATTTTAAAAAAAAGAGATAGGTCTTGCCACTCACCTTTGTTGTTGTTGTTTAAACACAGAATCATTGTAAAACAGTTGGAAAAAATCAATAGCACGACTCTTCACTCACCGTGTCAATGAGTATTCTTGAGTCCGGTTGCCTCTTCAAAATCCCTCATGTCTCCACCGTTGTGGTCCCTCTGCCACTCCCATTCTTGAAAGTTGGCGGGGAACACCTCGTCAAAACCGTCAAAATCTTCACCAAAATCTTTGCGAAATTCCCTCTCCCCTTTGCGTAAATTATTCAAATCAAACACATTATTATTCCCGATAGAGTCGTTGTTAGTCATCTGATTGCTATCCGAAACGTAGTTGGCCGCCATTACCCTAGATTTACGATTCAAGCAAGAAAAAATACCTGTCGCGAAAACAGGTGACATATCCGCAATTTTCACGCCAAAAACACTGGGAAATTCCATGGAATGATGTGTCATTACGTGTCGATCTCGTTTCTATTTTTAGAACGAGATTACACACGATAAAGGCAGTAGAAAGAGCGATTTTGTAAACTCGTTCGTGCCGCACGATTTATCGGGCAGCTGTGTGTGGGACTTGGACAGTAGCTGCCCGATTTATCGGGCAGCCGTGTACTGGGCCATGGTTTATGCTGCCCGATAAATCGGGCAGTCGGGGCCAAAGGGTTAAGCAAACAAACAACATGTATCACAGATTTACCGGAAATGACGTCAAAATCGGAAGAGAAATGTGACCAGAAGTGACATCATTAATGGCATTGTGAGGACAGGAAGTGACTTCATCATTGACATCATATGGACCGGACTTAACATCATCAATGACATTAAGGGAACCGGAAATGTTGTCAAAATGTTGAAGGTTCAAAGACAATCATTAATAAGAATATCAGCAACATAATGGTAATTCAAGGGAAGCTATCACATATGGACTAATTATTCTACTGCACAATTTTCAAGTCATTTTGAGGTGAATAGTTTGGAAGTCATCTCCTTTGGATCTGAAGCAGTCTCAAAGATAGTGTAATAAGAGTCTACAGGATTTCCTGTCAACAATCCTGGGAGTTAACTTGAGGCAGAACCTGCCTTTCTATCTGGTATAGTTGGGCAATAATGAAATAGAGGTAGAGGATTCGCAAGAATTATCAAAACAATAGTTATCATTATTAATAATTCTAAGCATACTACCTCTAATACTGTCTCCCACCTCCCTAATTTTCTGTCTCTAGTTGATTCATGTCTGGAAAGAAGTGAGGATTATCCTGCCTTTGCACACGGAAGAGCAGTGGTCTGATGATAGGGCAAATGTGGAAACAAATAGTGATGTGTAGTTGACAGTGAAGAGGACTTGTTGAAAATCTGAAATCCTTGCATCTTTTAATATTTTGCAAAATTACAATGTCATTATTTTTATGACAAATAAGCCAACATTTATATTTCTTGGGTTGCCAACTGTGTGACACTTGTTCATCTTTTTCAAGACAACAAGAAGGTTAACTTCCTCCCATATCACCAACATTTTCAGTGATTTTTTCCAATGATATATTTGTTTGTTCATGTTTTTCCCCATATTTTTCAGAAACTTTGTTTATATAATTCAAAATCTTATTTGTACCTATACCCATGTTCGTCTGTTTCACAGCTTGTTAAAAATTAAAAGTTCCAAATGTCAGGCATATTTGTAGCCATAATAATGTTTGTCTGATTCACCGCTGTGACAAAACGTCGATCCCACAAAAACATGGCTATAAAGATCATCTCATCTATATACCAAATATCTTAACTTGCAAAAAAACTGGCATTTGAAACAGCCACATGAAAAATGGTCTTGTCGTAAGGAGGCGACTAATGGAATGACGTGGTCAGGCTTGCTGCCTTGTTTGATGTATGTCATCATATTACAATTGCTCGGATCGATGCTCATGATATCAATCATTGGATTGTCTGGCCAATTATTACAGACCACAGTCATAGCTGGAATCTTGCTGAGTGTGGCATTAAAAAGAAAAAATTAAAAAAGAAAATTAAATCTAATTCCACATTTACTAACTTAGAAGACACACTTAATTCAACTCTGACATGTAGAGACCGAGCCAAGCTAAAGAGTTTTCCTGTTGCACCTTCAAAAACGTTTACAACTGAATATTTCTAACTAGCACATATTTTGTAGTGATTATTAGTTTATAATATCAACATTTGTTGAGTCTTCAACTACAAGACGAATTGGCACTATGGAATATAGCGGGGAAAACATCATGAAAATTGGTATATTGCCACGGTATTTTCTAGGTCAGTTTTCTGTCAGTCTGGGCTTACATATTGCATCAATGAAATAATGCAAACTCATTTTATGTATCAGCCTTTGTGTTATTTCCCACAACAATTCAAGCATTCAAATCTCAACAAATACTACCATGGACTTCAATTTAATAAAATTAGTGATACGCCAACATTTGCAGCACACAGACATATTTGACAGGCCTTTACCAATGATCCATATAGTAAGTATACATCCGTGCCTTTACAAATATTTTAAGAATGTTCAAAATAATAAAACAACTGATTTTAAATGTTACTTTTTATATCAAAATTAAAGTTGCATCTGAATATTTAAATTTATATTATTTTTTTAGAAATAGGCCAAATGATCATCTACCATGCATCTATTAAGCACTCAGTTACTCAGTTGCAATATACATATTTGTCATCATTCTTTGAAATAAGAGATTTACCCATATTATTCTGCCCCTTATAACATGTGTCCCACCATTAAGTGCTCTGAGTCATCACAGGTGTTAATTCATTGATCCATCATTTCTTACAGAATTCTGATACTCATGCTCTTAAAATAGTAGTTAATTACAGAGATTTGTCCCAAAAAACAACAAATCATACTGACTACCCCACAAAATGTGTATGATGCATAAATAGATCTAAAGTTTTATCTTCTTGTTTTAGTAACATTATATTTATTTTTATGTTGACAAATTATTTCCCATACAAACCCACACACTATCCTGCTGTATCTAAGTATCCTGATTTTCATTCAACACTACTTCAAGACATCTGTAGTATAAAGTATATTTTGTAGATATTATTATCATATAGCAAATATGAATTTAGAAAGTTTATCATCAAATCTTTTGATGGTTAAATAAATTCCATCTGAACCCCACAATCATTCCATGTAGATAAAGGGATATATATATGTTATTTGTTTTTTCATGTAACAGATTATACTTACATATGTTACAGTCAGTGTCTATTATCAGGCCCAATATGTATTTTGACTGAAAATTTCAGTCATTATCCCGGGATATGCCAAGGAGAGGCACGAGCCACTGAGCTGTGTATGCCCGTGCCTATAATAAAAACAAAAGATGAGATTGGATTAAATGGCCGAGGGTGTCCAGGTACTAGTGGGCTGCTAAGCTGCTTGTTGGGTATACCAAAATGCTACCGTTGCCATGATTACTAGCGTGGCCAACGGCGATTCGCAGCTAGCGCTGCTGGCCTGAGACTGCTACCGCTGTCTGGCCCCCACGGTAGCATATTTAAACACTACCATTGCTTAGCAACTACCGCTGCTGGCCTAAGTCAGACTTCCGCTGCCCGGCTCCAGGTAGCTCGCCAAAGCAGATACCACTGCCTGGCCCCATTAGCAAAACCATTGTTCGACTACCTCCAACTGTCAGCTACCGCTTGACAAGACGACTTCCGTCGCCGGGCCCATATACGTGGCAATTGGTTGCCCAATGTAAGTTATTTTACGATTCCCCGGCTGAAAAGTCGGCAAAGACAAGGTTCCCACTGAGAAGCAGGTAACCCCGGAAATAGCATTGGAGATATGCGGAGATAGCATTGTTGCCCGGCTTGCCTATGTACTGAAAAGAAACACTAACCTGTGGAGATAATATCCTTACTGGAGCAAAACAAGTGCCAGGGCATGCAATAAATTGTCCATAAATACACACAGTCCATGACGCTTGCACGGGATCTATTGCCCGGGGCATGGTGCAGGGTGCTGACCCGGGGGTGATTCAATTACAAGGGGTGATTAGGTTACAGGCGTAATTAGCCAATGGTTTAGATACGCGCGATAAAGTCATTTAGTAGTTAGTACTAAATGTAAATATGCATATTGATTGATTCACATTTTATCTTAAATTTTCATTCATTTATTATTGCCTGAAAAATAGGACCAGATTTTAGACAGACTGGCTGAAATGAATTAGACTGCATAATTTAATCTCCTCAATTTAATTTGGATCTATTTTGATCTTATCAAGATCAAAGTAACTTATGTAAGAAATTAAAAATGTTTTCACAATGAATTGATTGATTCTCCAAACCTGAAAGAAAACCAGAGTCCCTTTTTTATGTTACTTATCTTTATTAGCATAGTATTCAGTTCAGAAACAGATGACTGCTAAAAAGTCATGCATGGGTAATCAAATACCGTACTCGTACACATGCACAAGTGTGCCAAGATATTAAATAAAATAATAAGAGTCATTGTGCAATGCAGATATCTTTTGGTGTGAAGAGAAAAAAGAATAACATTAATAATTTGTTTATGTTGGAATTTGAAACATCAGTTTAGAACAAGGAAACATAAAAAGCAAGGCCTAATGAAGTTAAGAATCAGCTTTATCTGTCACAATCATATGATTATTGTCAATGCAAACTGGATGTAGACACTGCATGGTTAATACAATCAACATTATAGAGATTGGCAATTAGTATGAATACCGTATTCGACATAATAAACGCCTAGGGCGCTCTCAAAATTAGAAATAGGGGGCTCTTAATAGAATAGTATTTTGGTGAAAAACAACAGGGTTAAAAGATCGTGGTTTATGCTGACAGCCTGAAATGATTATATACGACAGATGTATTTTTCCAGAATCAAATTCACAATTAAGGATGCATATGTTATATAACGCACGTATTATACACGAATAAATAAGTCTTGTGTATATTGATCAATCGGAAGGGGTGCTAACTGGGATTGTTCACTAGCCAATATATTAGCAAATATCGCCGTGGGTGCTTATTAGAGCGGGGTGCTTATTACGTCGAATACGGTATATTGTTTTATTTTATGAAAATTGTAGTTGGTACAAATACTCTTGAATATGTATTTTAACTAATATATAGGGTCCTCTGTGTCTGAATTTTGTTTTTTTCCTACTTTGTAAAATTCAAAAAAGGCCAAAATAATATATATCTTTCATTGATCATATTGAAATATAATCATGGTAGTATTTGTCAACAAACAGCTACCATTCATATACATAAAATCCTTTTTTACAACATGCACCAATTAACCCTTAAATATCAAAACACATTTCAGTGATTTCCATTTCTTTTATTTTGAACATTGTATCATGATATCTAGTTGATGACGTAATTTTACAGTGCCTGTTACTCTTACAATTTCTTGAGAACATTCCTCATTGCTCTCTGTTATATATCTGACAAATACTTACATGTGTTGCTGTCAATATTCACAACATTAAGGCTACGGGCAACGTTGCATGAGACCTTCACATTTCGCGTACCGTATCGCCTCACCACTGTACATACTGAAATGCATGCATATGATGTAGCCTGCTCGGCGATGCTACAACATAGACATAGGAACGTATACAAAATCTACTTAATTTTTAAAAGTGTGATATTCATACATCAAGGGCAACACTTTCAGTACCGATTGCAAAACGTCAACAAAGCGACCTGGGATGAACCATCAGCTGATCTCACCGCATCGCTTCGAACGCCTATCTAGTGGTTAACTATACAATATAAACAGTCGTGGTCATCCCTGATGTATAATTAAATCAAGTAACATTTATTTTCAGACATGGCAATAGATAAATCATTGTTTAGGCGAAAAGATATAATGTCCACACATGAGCGTGACCGTTGCCGACAGAGTTGAAGGTTATACTAGTTAACTGTCTATAGGCGTCATAGTAACATGTAGTGCTCTTATCGTGCATACCACATGCGCCGTCAGTTTAAGGTTGAACCGTCTGGGTCAGCGCACCTAGCGGGTTAGTGAAAGGAAGATAAATTGAAAAAGACCGCCAATTACACAATTATCTTATTTTATATGTCTGTGCAAGTCAAAGTTATGTCCAAAATATTCAAGCTTAAAGCTAAGCACTTTACAAAAAACATTTTTTTATAGCCCAAACTTGATTTCAGTCAATTTCTCAAGAGAATTTCAGTTAGGAGGCTGTAATTGATTTTAGCTGCGCTAATCATGCTTACCAGACTTGTACTTAAGGCTAGCTGCTCAAGGCAAAGACTTCTATGTCATATGATAGGATGATTCTTTTTGCTTTTCAGACGCAGAGAAACGAATAGGAAGAAGGCAGCAGCGTATTTGAGGGAAGGTAAACGCAGTGAAGCCAAAGAATGTCTTCAGAGGAGTGTTGATGTAACATCACAGATGGCTCTTCGGCTTATGAATGTAAGACTTTATGACAGTGTTAGAAATTGGCCCTAGTCTTATAATTTTTGCCAAACTGCCCAATGGTTAAGGTATCCTAAGGGTTTTGCTATATGTTATCATTATAAGGACTAGTGGGCTAAAACTGTTTCTATTGTTATGAGAGTATCATTTCCATGGGGCATGTTCATCCAGCCATCACTTCTTGTTGGGGCATGTTCATCCAGCCATCACTTCTTGTTGGGGTATGTTCATCCAGGCATCACTTCCTGTTGGGGTATGTTCATCCAGCCATCACTTCCTGTTGGGGTATGTTCATCCAGCCATCACTTCTTGTTGGGGCATGTTCATCCAGCCATCACTTCTTGTTGGGGTATGTTCATCCAGCCATCACTTCTTGTTAGGGTATGTTCATCCAGGCATCACTTCCTGTTGGGGTATGTTCATCCAGCCATCACTTCTTGTTGGGGCATGTTCATCCAGCCATCACTTCTTGTTGGGGCATGTTCATCCAGCCAGCACTTCTTGTTGGGGCATGTTCATCCAGCCATCACTTCTTGTTGGGGCATGTTCATCCAGCCATCACTTCTTGTTGGGGCATGTTCATCCAGGCATCACTTCCTGTTGGGGTATGTTCATCCAGCCAGCACTTCTTGTTGGGGCATGTTCATCCAGCCATCACTTCTTGTTAGGGTATGTTCATCCAGGCATCACTTCCTGTTGGGGTATGTTCATCCAGCCAGCACTTCTTGTTGGGGCATGTTCATCCAGCCATCACTTCTTGTTGGGGCATGTTCATCCAGCCAGCACTTCTTGTTTTCCTGACAATAAACTTAAACAGATATCAATGGAATTTGACCAACCTGTGTTTGTGGATAATGCCAAAGACCAGGTCGATAACCAGTTAAACTGGTCGACATGAAGTTTGTTAGAGGACACATTACAGACCTATACCATGAGCAAATATTAATAGATTGTGATCATATTTGTAAATAAGTAATGCTTCATAAAATGATTAAATGTTTTTGGGGCACATTTTTCTCAAAATGGGCAGAGGGGGGTAGGATTTTTTTTTTTTTTGTTCAGCACCACGAAGTTGGAAACATGTCACAATACCCTGTGATGTCATTTATGAAATTCTGAATTGACTTTTTGAGTTCATTGGAGTATTAACATTCTTAGAGTGAGAAACTGTATGAACGAGCGTCAGAGCTTGTTTTAATAATTTAATTCAGTAGTTTTTCTCTTGAGATCAGCATGTCAGTCCGTCCGTCCATCCAGAGCTGAACTCCTAAACCGTTGAATATTTCTTATTGAAACTTGCTATACATTACTGTTCAGTCTAGTGGTGAACTCGTGCCTTTTGATGATTTGGGATATTAAAAAATACTGAACGTCATTTTATTTTTCAATGAACTGAAGGTATTCAATGGCAATGAACCAAAAGTCCATTTCTGGAGCACCAGACTTTATGAAAGTATATTTATTTTCAATATTAATTTTTTTCGGGTTCCCATTAATAATCCTTTTATCCCCATGAATTGAGTTGAAACCTTAATTTTTTTATTGAAAATAAAAATACTTTCATACTTTATTAGCATAACGGGTCTTTACAGTGGTGGCATTGCTTTTTTTTATGAAGAACTTAACTGGGACTTGATCAGGTTACTTTGATCAAAGTGGAGTTGGAACAACATTTGTGAACAACAATGGCGGCCATGGCTGTGCAGGTGTATCATTTGACCTGCATATTCCAGACAGTCACACAACTCCTTATGTAGCAGCTGCTCCTTGTATAGGAAAGTTTGGTCTTGACTGTCCAAGGATGTCAGGTTCAGTTTCATGGCTTGTCTTGTGCCTCTGATGCACTGTCTGTGAAATCCTGGCATGGAACCTGTGGGACAAGAATTTGGAACTCAAACTCAATACACAATTTCTTTTGGAGAAAGTTTCTGTAGAAATATTATGATCTCCATGCCCAGGGTTGTATTTGTAATGAGGCCAATCTTAGACCTGTTGAGGTGCAACCAATGTATTCAGGTAGAGATTGCAAGATGAAGCTCATCTTGTCCATCAAAACCTCTGTTAATTTAGGCAATTTACATTCAAGGAAGTTTCGATGTTTGTGTATCAGGGAAAAGTGTATGCGTTTGTAGCATTCCCTTGTGGACGACCAGCAGGACATATCCATTGTCTTGGGATGCTTTTCCACAGTCTCACTGAATGACACATCTGTGCAAACTTGCTTCTACAACCTCTGCTTCAGTAAGGGTCGCAGATCTGTCAAGTTCAAGAAATCAGAGCAATTTGCAATTTTCCCAGTGCAATGATTATCTTGGTGTAGAGTTTTACCGTGAACCCCCAACCAGCCACTTTCACTACCACTTGGCAATGGCATTGTCTGTTTTCAAGAATATTGCTTTAAACCAAGCAAGAAATACAAGAGCATAAGCTTCTTCTGCCCAAAGATGTGACCAACTGTGCCCTCTGGGGACATGGTTTAGGGCCTCATTCCACTAATCGATCTTAGTGCTATGACTGTTGTAAGCCTATCACTTTGTGGAAAGCGAATGAGGACCATAGTTGCCATGATTGATCTTTCATCAGAAGGTGTGCACTCGTCAAGCCTCCATCCATTTCATTTTTTGTTCACAGTACAGACTATTACACTACTACCACCACTACTACCACTACTACAGGAGAAAACATTTGTAACAGACACAGATGTGACATACTTATGGTTATTTCAAGAGTCCAAACTGCTTTGACTGCCTCCGTGGTCTAGTTGTAGAGGGTTTGTCTGGAGAGCGGAAGGTCGGGGGTTTAATCTCCAGCTGCGTCACACACACACACGCACGCACGCGCGCATTCACATTGCTGTATAAGTGCAATGACGTGATGTTAAACCCCATTTCACCTCACACAACTGCTTTACTGTAGTGTGTAGTTGATAGCTTGCATATTTCTTACTGGAATTTGATGAAACATATACATGAATGATAATCTCAAAGTGGGGGCCTGTATCTTATCAAGTTATGGGTGACATTGTTAACATAGAATATTGAAACACCAACCAAACCTTTGAGTTTTCTTTTTATGTATATACACCCAAGGTAGAAATACAAATAACATGGTAAAAGCCTTCATATATGACTCATTATGAGGCGCTGTTGGAACTGAAAGTAGGCAGTTGATATGTTGCACATTAAGTGACTTCATAGCTCACTAGAAACTAGAAACATACTGCAAAATAAACTTTAATGTGTGCTTGAGAAACTCGTTTCAATTCTATATATGGTACAAATAATTTTCCAGAGTAAGACCAATGTTGACAGATCCTAGTGATTGTTAGATGTTGGTTATATGGCATGTGACTTTATGGGGACCATTTCAAAAGAAACTTGCAATTTTACGTACTGTGTCAAATAAAGATCTCAATAATTGAGATTTGTTTGTGATATATTTGTTCAAATGTAAACAGTTCTGAAGAATCAATAATCTAGTTAAGTAGATAACTATGTGATGTTATTTACAAGAATATAATAAACAAGCATTTCAAAACCATTCCCTGTGACACTACAAACACATGCTCTGCATTGAGGTACATTGTTATTGTGCAAACAAGTTAAATTGTAAACATGTCATTTGACAAGATTATGCAAAGAGAACTTGTGGAATTACAAAGATTGTCATGACAATATTTACCCTCGTTTTAATCAAATAACATGCAAAAGAATGTCAAACTTGTCAACCATGCATGTTTCTAGCACACATTACCTAGCTGGAAGCGGGATCATGGGTGGCCCAGTTGTCTAAGGCGCCACAATTCGCTGTGCAAAGTTGCGTCCCTTGGGCACGCCAGAAACCTATGATTGTGGGTTCGAATCCCGGTTCGCCCTGATTATGTTTCTAGGTCATACCCGTGCTCGTGGGTTTCACCGAAGTGGTAAATGTCTGAGACCTGCATCACTTCGGGCTTTCCTCCCACATTAAGCTGACACGCCGCGATATAACTGGAATACTGTTAAAAGCGGCGTTAATCCAAACTCACTCACTCACTCACTCACTCACTCACTCACTCACTCACTCACTCACTCACTCACTCACTCACTCACTCACTCACTCACTCACTCACTCACCTAGCTGGAAGCGATTGTTATTCAGAGTGGCCAAGTTTGAACTTTTTCAAATCTATATAACGCAGAGAAAACGATCACAAGCGATGCTTTGAGAATGCTTTTGGATTCTTCCGGACTGAAGAGAGTGGCTAAAAGAAAGCTACTTCCTATTTAAGCAATTTGCAATAATCTTGGAATTGCGATAAGCAAACCAAGTACGCTTTGTGAAGTCTGAAAACTTGGATTAAAACATTTACTGCGCCATTTCATATTTCAGTGCATGTGTGGCACAAGGACATGGCCCCCAAATGATCCCTGCTTTGTGTTAGTACCTTGGAATATTAACTTGCAGAGTGAGGGCCAAACTTTTTGAACGACACTATTTTATGTGACTTCATGGTTACAATGAGAGACATACAACAACCAGGTGTATTGCAAGGGGGGGGGGATACTTCCTCAAAAGGAGAAGTGACATAAGCATATGTTTGCTGAAATTGCTCTTTATTCTACCATGAATTTGGAATTTACTCTTAACTAAACTTAACATTAATTTTTTTTATGATAATACAAAACATTTTTCATTAATGGATAATGGATAAACATTTTGTAACATGCTTGCCCTGTGTCAAGGTCATTCACACATTGAAAGACTTGCAGACAGTATAGTTTAGAATGTCCTTTTCCAGATGAAAATGTCATGAAAGCTTATATTTTCAGGCCTGTAGAGAGCAAGGTGTGGATTGTATTGTGGCTCCGTATGAAGCAGATGCTCAGCTGGCGTATCTCAACAAGATTGGTGTTGCTCAAATAGTTGTTACAGAGGACTCAGATTTATTGCTTTTCGGTTGTGATAAGGTAGGTTCCATATGGCATTAAGTTTGATACTACTGCAATAAAGTTACCTTGGAACAAAATACTCAACTGAATTAAACATTAGTGTCAACTCATAGTGAGTTGTGTTGCCTTGTCTATCCTGAACTTTTATGTTGCTCGAAAGGATAATGGTGCATACATTCATTGGATATTGATTTGAGGCATTCAGTGTATTTTTAGCTCACCTGAACACTCAACATTTTCAGCTTCAACGTCAACCATAAATATTTTGATTTTTTTTCACTTGATCCCCAAAATTGCATGATGGATTTAGAAGATGGTTTGTATAGGTGTTTGTTTTTATAAGAGGTTCAATTTCTGTGCATCAAAATTTTTATTTTAATATAACCGCCAGGTGCCATCTTTGATTTAAAAAAATAACATATACTCAATGGGCAATAGGCAAGAAACTTCATGGGTAACATGGTGACCTTCTGTTGTACAAAGTTTGATCAAGGCATCTTGATAGGAAATCAAATATGGCTGCCGGTGGGCGTATTGGAAAATACCAAAAAGAATCATGAGGCATCTGTCATAAAGATATATTTCTCAGAAACCACACACAATAAAAAAATAAGGGTATAGAGGAACTAACACGAAGAAGTTGATTACTCTTACATCCCCCTTGCATGGAAAACACTCATATGACACAGGTTCTCAACAGGTTGGTCACAGGTTGTACACCCGTTGAACACGTGTGTAGTGTGAAAGGTATGAGCAGTCACTTATATTTATGGGGATCTATGGGGCCTGTGAGTGAAATTTACGGGACACTTTAGTTTATGGAGGTCTCTCTGTCCAACAGAACTTGCTGGTGGTGGATCTCTTGACAAGGGATTCTCACAGCACTTCAGGACCATACCTAGGCTACAGCTGTGTCCTTTGCAGTATTGGATCCTTTGACCTGGACGTTGATTCAACATCCAGCTACCAGACTAATGGAATTGAATCATGACAGATATTGCCCTAATGTTCCCTCCTCTAGAACATCATCTTTACACGGATGCGCAGACCACAGGGTGGGGTGCTCACATGGACTGTGCTACAGGGAGAATGGTGAGAGGAAGACAAGGCCCTTCAAATCAACTGTCAGGAGATGAAGGTCATATATCTAGCTTTAAGGACATGAGTCAACACTTAATCAGTCCTCAGTCCTGGATGTGACAGACCACACCTCTGTTAGCTTACATCCAGAGTCAGTGAGGGAGAAAATTTACTGATGGAGGTTACACTATTCATCACACTCAATCAGCTGTGGAGTGGAAGCTCGCCACATACCAGGGAAATTCAACTTCCTGGCAGATTGTTCCTTCGATGAACAAGATAATTCAAACAGCATGGTCCCTTCATCGAGAAGTGTTAAAATGGATTACTACAAACTGTGACACTCCTCATCTCGACCTTTTTGTTAGGCGTCTAAACCAAAAGCTCTCAGTTTATGTCAGCCTGGTACCACATCCTCAGCACTACAGGTAGACGCTCTTTCCATGAGCTAGAAGGGTATATTTCCTTAAGCATTCAGGGTGTCGGGGTAGCCTTATGGTTAGAGCATTCACTTGTATCATCAAAGACCTGGGTTTGATTCCCCACATAGCTAAAATGTGTGAAGACCATGCTGAAATATTGCTGAGAGCGGCGTAAAACCATACTTACTCACTCGAACCTTACCCATACCCTCCTTGGTCTATCCTCGACAGAGTAATTTCAAGAAGTAGGAGGAGACAGGCTGCATTATCATTCTAAAAGCTCTGACATACAACATCAAGGGGGCACAAGATCAGCACTTTTGTTGAGCGAGATTACTGTTTTATTTGCCTTGGCAAACTCAGTGAGTTGCAGGATAGAAGCATGGCACATACCAGGAAAAGTGAACATACTTGCAGCCTGCCTACCCTGGAGACACAGGATTGTACCCATGAAATGGATTTGCCATTCAGAGGTATTCAATTGGATCACCTCGATGTGGGATACCCCTCATCTGGATCTGTTTCCAACATGCCTAAACCATCAACTTCCCATTTACATCAGCCCAGTCCCAGATCCATTAGCCCTCCAGGTCGATGCCCTATCCATGAGTTGGCAGGGGATGTTCGCCTACGCCTTCCCTCCTTGGTCTCTCCTGGACAGAGTAATTTCAAGAAGTAGGAGGAGACAGGCTCTGGCTTTGCCAAACAGAGCATGGTACCCATAGCTATTTCATTCAAATTGAACAACCTCTAAAACACCAACCATAATCAGCCTGCATTAATACCTAAACTAATGTGTCCAAAATGCAGGCTTCCAGATTCTCCAAGTCTGCTTCTGCAGCAAGGGCACTGTCTTGGAGACCTTCATACATTAGTCATATATGATACTATGTGGAGAAAGTTCTGCCAGTGGCGGAGAGCAGGAGGATTGGGAGAGGTTGACTTAACCATTCCGATGGTTGCTGATTTCATACTTCATCCAAAACAGGATAAGGAAATCAGGCATGCCACTATTGAGGGCGACAGGTCAACACTAGCTTCTGTTTTACATCATGGCAGGCTCTCAAATAGGTACCGCTGTTCTATCAGCCCATTTAGAATGACATGAACCTATACATAAAGCTACACTTTTCCCCGAGGAACAGCTTTCCTCCTTGCCATGGAGTTACATGCCATTGATTTCTGCTCACTCACTCATGATCGGGATTGGAGTAGGCTAACTCTGAGAACCCTTCTGGAGTTGGCTCAGAACCAGCCTGCAGCAGCTGGACTGCTCGGACAAACCAAAGACAATGCTCAATCCCTTTGTTAAACAAAATTGTGGACTGACCAGACAGATTCTACTGTACTGTCCCTGGAGGTCAAAGAAAGCTCCTCCCTTTCCATTTGAAGATATTTTTATTCAATTCCTGTTTCTTTCTATTTGCAAGGAATTTGACATAGATTGTACTTTGCAGGGTCACCTATTGTATGACTCCTGTCAATGTTGCTATTGTGCAAAATCGGTTGTAGATCGCAGTAATGCATTTATCCCAAAAGTTATATACATTTTTAATAAACTGAGGTTTTACACTGACACACTGTTTTTTCTTTATCACAAAAAACATTACCAGCTGATCACTGCTAGCATGCAGCAACGGAAATACCAATCAACAAATCCGAACTGAAGTCCACAATTTAATCCTATTATTACATTATCACAATTTCATTCAATATTGTTTACATTAATTTCGGCAAAATCGTGTGTGAAGTGATTGGTACATCGCACAACTCTCTCTTATTTACAGCAACCACAGATTACCACTATTTATGCCTTGAAATGAACTTTAGTTTCCAGAGAATCGATACATATATCATAAATGCCATACTTTGTCTCGTTAAAAGTCACCTATGGTGACTGGTCAAATTGTTCCATATGTAAAAATATCCTCCAATAGCAGTCAGCTGTACCAAAGTGCTACACTTATGGTTCTTATAATTTGAAATATATATAGTAAAGGCTGCAACTAAAATAACAAGATATCCCATAATTATTCAAGATAAAATTATTTTTTCAGATACAATTTCTTCCAACCATTGCATCAACAATGCCTTGGAGAGCAGGAAATACAATTTAAATTGTAAATCATGACGTCTAGTGATGTTTTATATCAAATTTCATATTTTTATTGACATGTTTGTCATACCTGTTCCTTTACCTGAATTGCTGAAGGGATACAATGTGTGGTTTTTTTTAAACGCATAACAATCGATAAATATTTTTGTACCCAATCAATCATAAACAACTACTATTCTAATCTTCTTTCAAACTCTGAAATTGCATCGTAGAATGTGTTAGGTAGGCAGAGCATGTTCTGCTGTGTTTGTCGTCTACCCCCTACAACTCCACCTTGGTTAAACTGCTGATCGACTATAACGCTCATCAATTATTTGGACCCCAAAGCTAGCGTTGCAGTGATGCCAGGGGATCACTGTACTTGTATCATGCGAGAGATGAAAACATATTTTAGGTTCGAAATTATCTTGCATATTTTAGAGATGAATTGATTCGATTGAAATATATGTACTCGCCCAGCAGGACGAGCTTTTCTTCACTTCTTTCTCGCGCTGCACATTCTTTCACTCGTCAAGTGGAATTTTCGAGCCCTGGTCTTTTGATGTGGGTTGGCATTGCCCCCACCCCCCTACTTTTGAAGAATGATAAAATAATTCAGATGTTAATATCCCAGACGATTAAAAGCTTATTTATTTACGACAATTGCCAGTAATTTCATACGTCACCAGTTTGTCTGTTTTCATTGCCTTGATACCAACACTGAGTCACTGTAAACGACTGAAAGCGAATGTGCAGAGACAAAATTATGACTCACTATAAATACTTCATGATGCCAACTACAAATAGTTAATTTCATTACATACTGTTTTAAAACCAGTGGGTAGTGACAAAAACTAAAATACTGATACCAAGTCATTGCTCAGGAGGTTGGTTAGAATTGGATTGTAAAATGAACAAGGAATTAATATTTTTACTCTATGCCACAGCAGAGGCAACCAGCTGTATGCAGCATACAAACAATGCATGCAGAGTTTTGTCTCAGATATAGGTTCATTAAGTTTTAAAACATCAATTTTTTTATTATCCTGCATTACTCCTTAACGCATTCACTGCTTACCTTACAACAAAAGACGGTGCAGCATAACGGCGATGGTCCTGGATGAAAAAATAAAACTATTGTTCGTAGTCCCACTTTTGGTGACCACCTCCGCTGTCCTGAGACCTTGTTGAGCTGAGGTCACCTCTTCACATCACTGCCTGTTGCGCTCCAGCATGGACGTGTTCTTAAATAATACTAACTTTGCCATAAGATTGAGTTGCATATATACAAATTATTGAATACACTTTCAACTCGTTCGATATTTTTGCCGATAGATTAATTAAATTCTACGGCAGCCTTCCAGTCCCGCTTCTTCAAAAAGTCTTTATTTTCATGACTTATGCTTACGTGTTGTACTAAT